CGAACTACACCGCTTTGAAGATTCTTTGGGATGGAAACTGTTTGTATAACGGTATCTCAGTATCGCTAGTTAGTGACTATTAATTATCAAAATCATTGCGCTTGCTTACTGCATCATAGCTTTATCTGAATGCGAATTATTACACCCAACATGAGCTCATCGCTTCGGCAACCAAACTTCCAAATATATTAACGCATTAAGACACTCTGTTTTCAATGTTGTTAACACCTAAAGCTGCAGACATGTTTGATCCACTAGAGACAGACATAAGGCATTGGAATTTGAGGTGAAAAAGCATGCAATGAGAGATCCTGGTCTTCCATGATTCCCGTCCTGTGTTTACCATCCATTCTTAGCGAGACAGTAAGTTGTGTCTATCCTGAACTTAACCAGGCACTTAGACCGTTGTTGAATGCAACGATAGGACCCCCAACAAGCCTCCAATGTCAAAATGGTTCCATTCATGTCCTGTGGTCAAGTGTGAGTGAGTGAGTGAGTGAGTGAGTTTTGGTTTTACGCCGATTTTAGCAAAATTCCAGCAATATCATGGCGGGGGACACCAGAAATGGGCTTCATACATTGTACCCATGTGGGGATTCGAACCCGGGTCTTCGGCGTGACGAGCGAACGCTTTAACCACTAAGCTACCCCACCGCCCCCCTGTGGTCAAGAGATAGAGCTCTTTGTTCATGCTCAGGTACAATGTTTGAACCAAACCATTTTATGGCATTGGTTCCTTCTGAAGATAATGCAACATGTCTGAAAGAGATATCTTTCTTGAAGCATCCGGAGACCATGCCACTGTGCCAGTTAAAAAGCAAACAGAAGTAGAGCAAACAAAAATTTAAAAAATCTTTCAAAAGCATAAAGACACTTCTTGTCCACAAACATCAACATCTAAGCCAGACAGCTTTATCGACAAACCTCTCGGTCAGAGTGAAAGTGAGATTGTTGCTGCAGCTTCTGAAACAGATGTAGGTTTTGCATCCGACATTAATCCTCATCACAGTAAACGCGAAGAAACTGATAAACCAGATTTAGATACTTCAGTTGATATTGGCTATTTAGTTTTTGCTTTGACTGACAGTGAAAAGTTCAAGTTCGTAACTGATCACTTCATTCCTGGGACTCAATACGAATTTCCAGTTGACATAACCAAAAAGCAAAACAGAACTAGAAAACTAGACTTTTCAAAGGTCATGGTTAAGTGAATACGAATAGCTTGTGTACAGTCCCACTTTAGAGGGAGGACTTTGCAAATATTGCCTACTCTTTCCATCAAAATATAAACGTGTAAAGAGTGGTATTCTAGTTCAAACTCCCTTCAAAATATTTTCAAAAGCTAAAGGCAAGGATGGTGTTCTTACTTGTCATGAACAGTTTGAATATCACAGGGCTGCAGTTGAGACTGTTTTGAATTTAAAAAGAGTGCATGAAAGTCCAGATACATCTCTTCAGTACTCAATGTCCCCAAAACACCAAGAACAGTTTGAAAACAAACAAACATGCACTTGGTTGCATCATTAAGGCCATATTCCTTTGTGGAGAGGTCAGAGAGATGACGCTTCTAGCACTGCCCTCAATAAAGGAAACGTTTTGACACTCATGGCTGAATCAAAGGACATTCTGCACAACCACCTGCAAAGCTGTAAAAAGAATGCAACCTACACATCTAAGACCAATCAGAATGAGATAATTCCATCATTGGTGAATTCATTCGGGCAAACACAACAGAATGTGTAGGTAAAGAAGGAGCTGTGTGCTGCCTACAGTCACATGGCCTTGATGTTACCAATATTACATGTCAATCCTACAGTCACATGGCCTTGATGTTACCAATATTAAAGGTCAATCCTACTGCCTACAGTCACATGGCCTTGATGTTACCAATATTAGAGGTCAATCCTACTGCCTACAGTCACATGGCCTTGATGTTACCAATATTAGAGGTCAATCCTACTGCCTACAGTCACATGGCCTTGATGTTACCAACATTAGAGATCAATCCTCATGCTGCCACCATGTCCTCATCAAAGACCGCCTCCGTGGTGTAGTGGTTAGAGCGTCCACCCGTAGAGAGGAAAGTCGCGGGTTCGATCCCCGACCGCGTCCTACCAAAAGACGTTAAAATATGGTACTCGTTGGTCCCTACCTGGCGCTGGGCATTAGTGGGTACAACAAGGACTGGTCGGCTCGGAGTCAGTATAATGTGTCTGAGTGGGGTATTCATGCTTCACTGTGGTATGGTTTCTCAGTGGGCTAGCACTATAAAACCAGCTTAAGTCTGGGCTAGTACTAGCAGCCGCACATACACATACAGACGCATGCACGTCGTCATATGAGCGAAATATTCTCAAGCACGACGTTTTCACCTTACCTCACCTCACCTTCTCATCAAAAGATGAGGTACAAGGAAGGATAAAAGGTATTCAACCATTGGCCCTCTTTGTTCAGTGCAGTAGTCACCGGCTGAGTTTAAGCATTACATTGTCCTGGAAGCTTGCAGGGACCAGGAACATGATTGACAGTCTGAGTGAAGTCTTTATATTCTTTTTATTCTTCCCCCAAGCGGCAAAGGATCTTTGAACATGTACTAAATGTGAAAGGTTCTGAGAGTAGACGGAAAACTCTCAAAGGTTTGTGCAAAGCCCGATGGGTCGAAATACATACATGTTTTGAAACATTCCTTGAGCTATACGAGTAGACATTGATGTCAGCTTCAAGGAGGTCTTTGATGACGCACGAAATATGGCAGAACTGATCGGTGGAGATATCACTGTTCCACGTCTTGCTGGACGCCAAAGGCATCGTGGAAATGTCCAGACAAAATGTCCTGAGGAACACAACAAGATAAACTTGGCAATACCATTTATTGATTATCTCAGTCAAGAACTGAGTTTGCGATTCTTAGATGATGACAGAGTTGTATCAGTGCTGTTTTCTCTGGTACCTGAAAATATCAGCTCAATTCATGATGCGAACAAGTATGTAGACAGGCTGTGATTTTGGGAGGTCGGTTTGGTTACGTCACTGTCTTTGAAAATACCAGCGCCTTGAGCCTGCACGAGTTGCGTGGATATGTGCGCTATATGAATATCCCATAATAATAAGGCTGGTCTTAAATGTGAAACTGAGGGCTTCCTTGTTGCTGCTCAGGACCAGTCACTTCCAACTCGTAATCGCCAAAATGTGATTCTTAAAGAATTCTTTGCAATGAATTCTCAGAGACTGTCCAACACCTTGTCAGTGGATGCCCTTCCTTGGCACAAACAACATATCTGAAACGACCTGATGGCATGGCTCGCTGCTTCTACTACCGTCTTTGCCATGCCTGTGGCTTTGACTCCGAGGTCCATCCATGGTACGACCCTGAACATGTCCAGGGCGTCATGGAAAATGATAATTTCAAACTTCTGTGGAATAGGCCCATATACAGCCTCAGAAGAATTCCTTCAAACAAACCTGATCTTGTCCTTTTTGATAAAGTCAATGAAACTATATATATCATTGAATTTTCTGTCCCTTTTGACACCAATGTGATTGGCAAGATTCAGGAAAAGCATGATAAATAAGCGGACCTTGCCTTTGAAATGACTCGCTTGCATCACAAGTGAACCGTCGTCAGGCTCCCCATTGTTCTCGGTGCCCTTGGTTTGGTACCTCCTGATCTCTTGGCGCAGATCAGGAGAGTGCCCAGGTTCCCCACCGGGAGCACAGCCCTTCTGACAATCTGGGTAATGCAGAAGGCTGCAGTGTTGGGGAGCCTTCATATTCTCCGGAACGTTCTTGGTGGGTTCGACTAGGCAGTGTTTCCTGGGAGAAGTCCCATTTGCTGTCTGGGCTGCGTGTAGAGGGGGCTAAGGCCCTGAGCTGATGATGAGCCTTACCAGCCTGACTGTGCCAGGATCACCCGAACCCTCTCTGCTGCATTTTCATCTTTAATCTGTTAATCATAATAATAAAAAAGTGAAGTGAAGGCATGGAAAGAAAAATGGGCTGACTTAACTGAGTCTGATCGCCCAAGAAACCTATCTGACAGTCTGTGCAGATGTTGAATTATATCCAAATCTTCACAAACTCCTAATTATTGCATGTGAGTGAGTTTGGTTTTACGCCGCTTTTAGCAATATTCCAGCAATATCACGACAGGGAACACCAGAAATGGGCTTAACACATTGTACCCATGTGGGGAATCGAACCCGGGTCTTCGGAGTGACGAGCGAACGCTTTAACCACTAGGCGCCCAAACTGTTCAGCTGAAAGTTGTCCCTGGTCAGTTTTGCACTCTGTAAATCATTAAACAAATACGAGTATCAATTGCCCCTAATGATTGACTTTTCTTTTTGTAAATAACTGACTGCAGATGACTTTTCCTTTTGTAAATAACTGACTGAAGTCGACTTTCTTTTTGTAAATAAACTGATTGACAAAATATCGGACGATGTATGTATGAATGTACGTATGTACGTATGTACGTATGTGCGTATGTATGTATGTATGTATGTATGTATGTATGTATGTATGTATGTATGTATGTATGTATGTATGTATGTATGTATGTATGTATGTATGTATGTATGTATGTGTGTGTGTGTGTGTGTGTGTGTGTGTGTGTATGTATGTATGTATGTATGTGTGTGTGTATTCATGTATGTATGTATGTATGTATGGATATATGTATGTATGTAGGTGCGTGCGTGCGTCTGCCTCTCTCTCTATGTGTGAGTGTTTGTGATGATTCGTTAACGCAGACGATTCCATTGGGAGTTGAGTCGTCTGGTTGAACAAATTGTTTCCTGAATGAGTGCGATTTTATCGGAGGGTAAAGCTTTCCGTTATATAGTTAAAGCTCAAGGTTACAGTCACAATATTCAGTTGCTATGCAATCTATGCAGGTCTGGACTATGAGAAATAGCGGGTGTTCTGATTTAAATAGAAAACACACCTACAGGAATTCATGATGACTCAGTCTGAGGTCAAAGATCGCACATGTTTCGTGCTTTTTACTTCACAGCGGCTTGCATTCAGAGCAAGTCGTCGCCATGTTGCGGACAGGGAGACCCAGCTTGTGTACATTAGCGATTGTGCTTCTGGTACTACACGTCTGCGGGCAGGGGTTTGGTTTTGATACTAACAGCCCCGGGCGTGATGCTAGAGCATCTCAGTGTCAGCTCACAAGCGAACACAGGTAAGTCTCGTCAGTGGACAGAAGTACGTCATACAGGTGAGCAAGAAGAGAATTATTCAGTGTTTTGGCCATGTGACCCAAAGTATAGAGCATCTCGGTGTCAGCTCACAAGCGAACACAGGTAAGTCTTGTCAATGGACAGAAGTACGTCATACAGGTGAGCAAGAAGAGGATATAATTTTTTCAGTATTTTGGCCATGTGACCCAAAGTACAATTGTAATTGAAGTTGTTTTTTAACAGGTCGCGTGACAGTACGACGTTTTTAATCAACACAAAGAAAACCTGTTTCATGTTAATAGCAACAATTCTCATTACGTCAATATTTTTAGCATTTAGAAGATTAACCATATTTACATTAGCAGGAAGATATTTTAGGCGTATGGATAAATATTTTCACAAACATATAACACATGAGATTCGTCTTCTATGACTCCAAGGTTTCACCATGTACACATTACATTTGAAACTTTATCTTCTTTAGATTGACGGTAACTGTTTATTTTGAAGGTATGCAAAGAAAGTACAATGATATCTGTCAAAGGTGAACAGAGGTAAGTATTAATAATAAACACCGTTTACGTCTTACAGGTGAGTACATGAATAAAAGATAAACAAGGTAAACAATGGTATGTGACATGACCCCGAGGAACACTTAAGAGGAACACAGGTATTGCAAGCAGGTGACTACAGGTGTGTGTAACAGGTAAACACAGGTATGTCAGGCAGGTGACTACATGTGTGTATAACAGGTGAACATAGGTTTGTCTAACAGGTGAACACAGCTATGTCGAGCAGGTGACTACAGGTGTGTCCAACAGGTAAACACAGGTACGTTTAAACAGGTGAACACAGATTTTGTCATGCAGTCAGAGACAGCTACCTTTTTGTGTGCACGTGTTTCATTAGCAAGCAGAATTGCAAGAATCGGTCACGTGCTCTGTGCTTACCCTCGGCTATACGAGGGATCCAGGGTTTATAAGCGTGTGGCATCTCCATTCTATTGTGATACGTTTGTCTTCCTCTATATCTAACCCATGAAGAGGCTAACGGGATCAAATGGTCAGGCTCGCTGACTTAGTTGACAAATGTCATCGTATCCCAATGATGTAGATCGATGCTCATGATGTTGATCATTGGATTGTCTGGTCCAGACTGTTATTTACAGACCGCCGCCATATAGCTGGATTATTGCTGAGTGCAGCGTTAAAGAACAAAAATAAACAAAACAAAAACAGCAAAAACCTCAAACTTCTATATCTGGTAATCAAGACATCCGCAAAATACCATCTCATCATTTTCTACTTATGAAAATAATAAGGCGCAAAAGTATTTTTGATCTTAGGTAAACTTAACCTTTCAAGTAGCAGCGGAGGCTATTGTCAGCCGTTCCCAGTAAGTTCATGGTTCAAACCTTTCAAGTGAGTGAGTGAGTTGGGTTTTACGCCTCTTTTAGCAAAATACCAGCAACTCCTGAAATAGGCTTCACACATTGTACCCATGCGGGAAATTGAACTCGGGTCCTCGGCGTGACGAAGCTTTAAGCACTTGGCTACTGCAAACCTTTCCCAGACATATAGCATATGGCCTTGACACACTAACCACCATAGCATTGCATTGACCTGAATTCTTAATCAGAGGCAGGAGACATAGAGATAGTGACTTCATGCTATGCTGATCGAGGGATTGAATCAACACTTAAATCCCTAAGGGCAGAAACTCTACAGTACGAAATCGGACACACTAAGTATTGATATTCTAATGAAGCTCCATAAACCGTTAAGAAATTAGACATCCAAACATTACGTGACGCGCAAATGCCCGAAAAATATTCCTTTTGTTTTTATCAAGCCGAATCTAGTTTGTGTAAATACCGTTGTCTGTCTTCCAAGATAATAGTCTCTTGTGAAATTTCTCTAATATTGCGTAAAACCCAATTCACTCATTCCAAGATAATACATTAAAAAAATACGAATCCAACTAAAGATTATAATAATTTGGCAAGTCAAGATTTTCTTAGCTTAAAGAAACCGGACTGCATTTAGAGTCTGGTTTATATACTATGCCAAAAAAGAAACGCATAGGCCAGACATATGTTGCTAAAATGTTGTATTTTCAAACATGGATAACTCGTCCACAAATAGACTTTAGTACATGAATTTTTATATCACTTTAGAAGAAGGTAATGTCTATACAACCAAGTGGATAATGTTACATAACGGAGACGTTGAGCGCGATGGTGACGACATAGCACGGTCCTGTACAGTTTGACCGGATATCCTCCGAAGTCCAGGCACCCTGGCTGCTGTGCTCTCACCTGTGGCAGTACGATCACGCAAATGTAGTACCCGGATGTACCGATCTTGGGCTGCAGTGGTGACTCGAGGTCTCCCTGTTCAGGGACCGTCATTTGTTATACCTGTTTGGTTGTAACGAGCTGCAAGCCTTGATATCGTGCTCAGACTAACATTCAGACGCCTGGCAACAGAAGATTGGTAATCTCCAGCCGTGCATTCTTTCAATGGCGATGTTTCGTGTCGCAGCGTCAAGACATGGCGTAGTGATTTGACCTTGAAACTCCTTCAAAACGAATGCCAGTTTACGAAAGTAATCTGGATTATTATAGCCAGACAGTGCATGGTCTTTGCTGCACAATTTCAACTGGAAGGTAATTTCTGTTGCGTTGTGTTTATGCCTTTTTAATCCTTGTAAGAAATCTCATCAAAATCAACATTTTCAGGTATCGTCGATTTTTTACTTGTGCAATTGTGTAAAATCATGTTATCAACACTTTTGTTACATATTTTGACAATTGTTTTAACACAATAGGTAATTAATAGATTTTTAATATACAAAATCGCCTATGCGTTTCTTTTTTCTGATAGTATATGTTGTAGACATATTTTAGTAAGAAAACTATATACATTTCTGAGACGAAACTATACATGCAGCTCCAAAATGATCTATAGATAGAGCTTGCTTTTCATTGCATCATTAGTTGCAAGGACTTTCATTCAGTGGGGTAGCCTTGTGGTTAAAGCGTTCGCTCGTCACGCCAAAGGCCCGGGTTCGATTCCCCACATGGGTACAATGTGTGAAAACCATTTCTGGTGTCCCCCGCCATGATATTGCTGGAGTATTGCTGAAAGCGGCGTAAAACCATACTCACCCTATCCAATACGAGCTCAAGTCAGTTATATGGAATCTCGATAATTGAATTTGTTTCTTTCATTTAAGGAGTGACTGTTACCCCGAGTCAGGCGTCACTAAAGCTGCCTGTCTGTCACGTGGGTGCTGCTGGCAGAGGACAAACGTGAAGGGCGCCCCCTCGTGTTTCTACTCGCCAGGGGACGACTACTCTGTACAGAAAGTACAGAATAAGGGTAACTCCGTGGTTCTGACCAGGAAGCAACGTACACACTGGCCCAATGACGTCATGGACCTGCAAGGTGACGTAGTCGAGGAGACGAGCAGTAGACTCCGGTTTAAAGTAGGTTTACAAATACGATGTAAATTTCCCTATTATTAAGATAACATAATTCTATGTTTTCTCGGTCGTCTATGTCAAAATAATCTACACACAGAGTTGCGTCCCTTTGCTATGTCATGATCATAACTCACTCACTCACTCAATCACTCGTGGTAGTAGTTCTTTTTTCTGTTGGTTTCGAAAAGAAAAGTGAAACATTGTTCAAAACGATGAAATTGAACCCAAACTATCTACGTGGGAATTGGTCATCATCGGATCACGAAAGCGTTCGACTTTGTTCATAATATCAATCAGTGGTTTGTATGGTCCTGACTATTATGTTCATTTACCGCCATCATCTTGAAAGTCTCTGAAGACGGCTTTAAGCATCATACAAATTAAACCTCAAATGACACCATCACTCCCCTCAGGTGTACGACCCCAACAATAAGCGCTATGAGGTTCCTCTGCCGCTCAACCAGGGATCTGGTTCCCCCCAAAACACTGATTACACATTCAACATCGACCACAACTCCTTCGGCCTCACCGTTACCAGGAAGTCAACGAGGAGTGTTCTGTAAGTTACTGTTATATAAGTGTTATATAGTTATGTTTTAGTTCAATGTTCCGTTGAATGTTTGACGCCTCTTTGGCCGTCCTCTGATCGTATTCCAATGTTCTGTTGAATGTGTAACGCCTCGCCTCGGCGTGACAAGGGAACGCTTTAACCCTTTGTCCACCCCACCGCTCTAGATTTGACGTGAGTACAGTACCTGTCATGTTCAATGTTCTATTGAAGAGTACCTCTGATCTTCAATGTCCTGTTGCACGATTGACGTAAGTCTCGCAGTTCTCTGGAATGTCTGACCCCAGTATCATACGACTGATCTCCCCCAACCCTCCTTGAATATATGACGCAAGTATCGTACAACCACTGATCTCCATCCCTTGTTGCAGGTTTGACGCCAGCCTCGCCCCTCTGGTTTTCTCCGACCAGATGATACAGATCTCAGTAGGGGTGCCTACAACCAATCTGTACGGTATCGGAGAAAACAGGAAGCCGTTCAGGATCCAAGTCGAGAAGAGTCCTGGCTACTCCCTCTGGGCTCATGATGTCTTCCCCGATGTGAGGAGCGTCCGTCGGGGATGTCGTGGGCAGGGTGGTGGTGTGGGGGTTGTTGTTGTTAGGGTGGAGACTTAACACTGCCTCGGAGACATACCAACATGCACGCGTTCCAGGTCGGAATTCATGTTCTATTCACAGTGAGGTTCCACGTCTAACGTCGGTACCCCACACATTATACCGACTCCGGTCAGGTTAATGCCCTGAAATACCACTGCCCTCTCCGAGTCCCGACATGTACTAGTATATAACGTCTTTTCTTATAACGTTTGGGGTCGGTGGGTTAGCCTAGTGGTTAAAGCGTTTGCTCGTCACGCCGAAGACCCGGGTTCGAATCCCCACATGGGTACAATGTGTGAAGCCCATTTCTGGTGTCCCCCGCCGTGATGTTGCTGGAATATTGCTAAAAGCGGCGTAAAACCAAACTCAGTCAGTCAGTATTTCAGCATCCATTTTCCTTCAGATCGACACCAATATGTACGGCAGCCACCCTTTTGTGCTCGGAATAGAACCGAATGGAGACGCATTTGGAATATTTCTCCTGAACAGCAACACCCTACGTAAGTGAGTGAGTGAGTGGAATTGAAACTAGGGTGATGTTCAAATGTATTAACGTGGTACCTGACTGAAACCTGTCTACCTAATTTTGATATCCGGCTGAAATCTGGGTACTTCGGCCTATAATTGCCGGAAATCGGGATAATTTAATTTGATATTTGGATACCACAATCCTTTACCTGTGTGATGTCTGGGTATTTCAATTTAATACCTTGACACTTGATATCAGCTTGGTTATCTGGATACTCGATACCTGGATACCTTTCTTTGATACCTGGCTGATATCAGGATGCCATAAATTAAAATGGCATCTAAGTACTGTACACTGTTACCAGTTTGGTATCAGGCTACTATTATGTGATGCATGGTTGGAGTCATGGTGCTTTATCTGTTATGTGGATGATACCTGGCTACTAAATTGTGATACCTGGGTACTAAATTGTGATACCTGGCTACTAAATTGTGATACCTGGCTGAAATCTGGTTATTACAAGTGTTATTATTCCAGTCATATACATGCAGGTGTAGACGTTCTTCCAACCAAACCTGTGACAATTCGTTACCGAGCCCTTGGTGGAATACTGGACTTCTACGTTTTCACTGGTCCCACGCCTGATGACGTCATCGATCAATACTGGGCTTTGATTGGACAGCCACCACTTCCGCCCTACTGGTCGCTAGGTTACCATCTGAGTAGGTGGGAATATGGCGGATCAAGTGGGATGAACGCAACCATTCAGAGGATGAGGAACAAGCAGATGCCATTTGTAGGTCGAGGTCACATGATATCTTTTTACGGACGTAGAGCATATGTTGTCAATTTAAAGTCTCCATTTGCAAGGCGTGTGATTGACGGTCCAGTTTCTCGTATAATGTTGTTGTTTTTAAATTCAAAACATTCACAACAGTGTAATTGCGCGAGAAGCACTGTTCATATTTTCACAGCTATTTTCCCGTTTCCACCAAACGGACTTTGTTTTTGAGGATAGTTTAGACTGGTTATACTTTGGCCCTGACGTTCCATATTTTGTTCTTAGTGTGATGGAGAGCATACAATCGAAATTGTCACAACCTGTTCCCAAGAGTTAACAATCCGATCAAAATTGTCACAAACTGTTCCCACGAGTTCACAATCCGATCGAAATTGTCACAACCTGTTCCCAAGAGGTCACAGTCCGATCAAAATTGTCACAAACTGTTCCCAAGAGGTCACAATCCGATCGAAATTGTCACAACCTGTTCCCAAGAGGTCACAGTCCGATCAAAATTGTCACAAACTGTTCCCAAGAGTTCACAATCCGATCGAAATTGTCACAACCTGTTCCCAAGAGGTCACAATCCGATCAAAATTGTCACAAACTGTTCCAAAGAGTTCACAATCCGAACGAAATTGTCACAACCTGTTCCCAAGAGGTCACAATCTGATCGAAATTGTCACAAACTGTTCCCAAGAGGTCACAATCCGATCAAAATTGTCACAACCTGTTCCCAAGAGTTCACAATCCAATCGAAATTGTCACAAACTGTTCCCAAGAGTTCACAATCCGATCGAAATTGTCACAACCTGTTCCCAAGAGGTCACAATCCGATCGAAATTGTCACAACCTGTTCCCAAGAGGTCACAGTCCGATCAAAATTGTCACAAACTGTTCCCAAGAGTTCACAATCCAATCGAAATTTTCACAACCTGTTCCCAAGAGGTCACAGTCCGATCAAAATTGTCACAAACTGTTCCCAAGAGTTCACAATCCGATCGAAATTGTCACAACCTGTTCCAAAGAGGTCACAGTCCGATCAAAATTGTCACAACCTGTTCCCAAGAGTTCACAATCTGATCGAAATTGTCACAACCTGTTCCCAAGAGGTCACAATCTGATCGAAATTGTCACAACCTGTTCCCAAGAGGTCACAATCCGATCAAAATTGTCACAACCTGTTCCCAAGAGTTCACAATCTGATCGAAATTGTCACAACCTGTTCCCAAGAGTTCTTCGAATAAACATCAAATGAAACACAAATAGTAAAAATAATAAAGCATCCAACTTGTCGGAGTCTAACATTGACTCTGCTTTTATTGCAAGGACACAATCTGGAACGACATCGACTACATGGTCAACGAGATGGACTGGACTTACGACCACAAGCTGTACGGTCAGCTGCCGGACATCGTCAAGGACCTGCATAGCCACGGGGAGAAATACGTCATGATATTGGTAGGTGTAGCATTCTGCGTTATCTGATAAACTACAAAATATAACGCCATATCTAACAGGTGACTGAAAAAATCAGCTTCCATAATAGTAGAACTGGGAAAACCCCATTTGACCGAGGCAGCTCTTATAGTGGGACAGGTGGGTACACCCAGGTTGACCGAGGCAGCTTTTATAGTGGGCGAGGTGGGTACACCCAGGTTGACCGAGGTAGCTCTTATAGTGGGACAGGTGGGTACACCCAGGTTGACCGAGGCAACTCTTATAGAGGGACAGGTGGGTACACCCAGGTTGACCGAGGCAACTCTTATAGAGGGACAGGTGGGTACACGCAGGTTGACCGAGGCAACTCTTATAGAGGGACAGGTGGGTACACCCAGGTTGACCGAGGCAACTCTTATATTAGCAGTGCGTGGACCCAAGGTCCATGGAAAATATTTTGTCACTATTATTTATACAATGTCAGGAATTCAATCTCTGGGTTCACATTGACCAGCTGACCGTATATTTCAGGATCCTGGCATCAGCAATACCCAGCCCAGAGGTAAATATGCCCCGTATGATGATGGCATGGCAGATGATATCTTCGTGAAGACTGGCGACGGATCTGCTCCTATAGTGGGAGAGGTGAGTGAGTGAGTGAGTCAGTGAGTGAGTGATTTAAGTCAGTGAGTGTGTTATTTAAGTAGGTCAGTTCTTCCCACCGGATGTTACGACATACATTTACGACCAAACATCGGGTTTCAATCAAATTGAATTTTAAGCCTACGTATTGAGAAGTCGAGATGACTTTGCCCCATCCTACCCAGTAGCAATGTTGACAGTCAGCAGATTATTTGTAAGAGAACAAATGTTGTCTCTTTTAAATGTCAGAGCACATTCCGGGTGAAGCCCTAGCAACCAGGTCGTAATAGGGACTAAACAGATAGACTGACTGACTGAGTTTGGTTTTACGCCGCTTTTAGCAATATTCCAGCAACATCACGGCGGGGAACACCAGAAATGGGCTTTACACATTGTACCCATGTGGGTATTCGAACCCGGGTCTTTGACGTGACGAGCCAACGCTTTAACCACTAAGCTACCCCACCGCCCCTAAACGGATAGAGTAGCGCTAAGGTTGCTTTGTACAACGGCACCCATGTCGTTATAGGGACTAAATCAAAGAAGTAGTCAGGCCCGGTGACTTGTTGTCAGCATGTCATCGTGCCCCGACGCAGGGGTCGCTGTGCATGATATCAGTCACTGGTTTGTCAGGTAAATGCTGAATTATTCACAAACCAGGAAGAGGAACAAATATTCCTGGCTGCAGCGTTAAACAACAGACAGACACAAAGACACACAGACAGACTAGCAACGACAGCAGTTACACCCATGTCTCCGCTCCTGCTTCACTAAAATACGCATGTACATATTGGAGGGCGGTGGGGGTAGTCTAGTGGTTAAAGCGTTCGCTCGTCACGCTTAAGACCCGAGTTCGATTCCCAACATGGGTACAATGCGTGAAGCCCATTTCTGGTGTCCCCCGCCGTGATATTGCTGGAATATTGCTAAAAGCGGCGTAAAACTAAACTCACCCACTCACTCACTCCAAATTAGTTTTTCTTCGGCATTTATCAAAAGTTTAGTTTTAGCGGATCCTTACACGAAATAACATTGCACTGTTTTAACCTGTGACAGGTGTGGCCGGGGAAGACGGTGTTCCCAGACTTCAGTCACCCCAAGGCTGAAGCCTGGTGGCAGAAACACGCTCAGATCATGCACGCTGAGCTTCCATTTGACGGCCTCTGGACAGTAAGTACCACACATGGTCAGCCGTCGGTGGTCACACTGGGTGTAAGCAGCTAAAATATCTTGAAAAGGAAACCCTACAAAGCGTTGATACATGTATTTCCCCGGTTGTTACATCAGCCGCAGTATCTATATACAATAGACTACCGTTTCGGCAACTAAACTATTGAAACGCTACAGAGGCCCAGATAAGCTGCGTATCCGGGTAAAATACACATAGAAAATTTCCAATTACGCATTGAAAAACAATTGTTGCGTACCAATTACGCATTTAAAATGTTAGATACGCAAAAAGTTTAAAGCAAATGCGTACGGAATATATTTATAAAAATCGCTTGCGTAATGAAAATGACATCGATTGCTATCAAGTTGTACTGTTAGTATAGGACTAGTGTTGTACTGTCAGTACAGGATGAGTGATTTTTTATGAAATCATTTCCCTTATACATGTATTTAAGTTGGTTTTGATTAGGTATGACATAAGGCAGAACATACCTGCTTAGTAAACTTACTCAAAGACATAATACTTAGGTGAGTAAAATGACTGAAATACGCACATATTTAATAGCAGTGGGTAACGGAAAATGAAATACCCACTCAACATTCATAATACCCACTCAAAAAAAATACAGTGGGTACAGTACCCACATGAGCTAAATCTTAGCTGGAGCTCTGCGGCGCTACGAATGCCGTACCTCCTATACTGTAACATAGACTTGCGACATTCGTGGCGCTACGTTAGCTTTGTGAAACAGGGCCCTGTTTCCTACGTATTCTCGATTTATCCTTTTGCAGTTGTGTCGAATCTCGGATAACTCGAAGTATCGTCGTAGGTTTCTCCATCTTTGACACAGCGGTATTTATTTGTATTCGAGTCCATATATTTTTTACATCTAATTTACATGTATCTATATTTCCCTTTCCTATTGTTATCATGTGAGCCTTGTCCTGATTATTATCAGTCTAAGTAAACTTAGGCTCAGTATTATTCGTTACACTGCTATACTGAGTCTAACAAAACCTTGCAGATGGTCGCGACAGGTAACCTTTGAGCGACCAATGACCGTCCAATCAAACGCGAGACGGCCTAACGGATTTAACCAGTCAGACAACAGCTACTATTTAGGGATCGGTGGGACTTACAAAATGTATTTTCTCTTCCCCGGTCGCCAACACTGATCTCACAACAAATGAAAACCCGCATGAAACATAGATATATGACCTGCAGAATATACGCTTTTGGGTTTATGTTGACATGGTTATCATTAGCTAATATTTCCGCAAGCTGACATCCTTGAATACTGATAAAACGCTATTATCAGCGACTGTTTACCCACTGTTGTGGCGTGCTCCATGTGCATCACTCGGAAGCGATCGTACGGAAAATAGCATTCGAAATCGTTCGGGTACAAAACTTTTTCGAGGTAAATAGCCATATAGCTGGAATATTGCTGAGTGCGGCGTAAAACTAAACTCACTCACTAACCCAAATGTTAACACAGTATTACACGACAACAGGACATGAACGAGCCCGCCAACTTCAAGGACGGTTCCGTGACAGGGTGCGTCAACAACTCACTGGAGAATCCGCCTTACACACCACGTGAGCCTAATTTCTGGACATATTGCCTGTATTCTTATTCAAGGGAGGTTCCTGGAACAGCACATACCCACATATACCCATCAAAAGTTTAGACTCACTTAAAGCACTCACTATATGTTATGTATACATATGGTTACAACGAAGATGAATTTCCCCTTACTTGGTGAACCAACTGAAAACCTTATGCAGATGAATTGCACGAGGACCATGCTTCAAATATCGTGCTTGTGAACAGCTGCGGTTGGTGTAAAGTTTTGTTAAGAATTCACCAATTTTCACTGAGTTTCATCTTTTATTGAACTCATGACAATAATCTTTTCCACGTTACGAATTTGTTTTACAATACATCAGTTCACGTGTAAACAGTACCTTTAAACAGTATGGAATATTTATCAAAATCTAGTTTAGAACAGTTGACTGAAGTTAGTGGCTACATTTAAACTAGTGAGTCTAAACTTTTAATGGGTAGTATATAAATACTCCGTGTTCGTCCAGGAGCGGTGGGATAGCCTAATGATTAAAGCGTCGCTCGTCACGCTGAAGACTCGGGTTCGATTCCCAAAATGGCTATAATGTGTGAAGCCTAATTCAGGTGTCCCTCGCCGTGATATTACTAGAATATTGCTAACAGCGGCGTAAAACCATACTTACTCACTCATACACTGCGGTGTCATCGCTGAGTTTCATGGGTTCATTCATGTCGCTCTAACAGCTGTTTTGTCCTTTGCATCAAGCAGGTCTGTTTCTGCGCATGGGTTGAGTTGAGTTGGGCTTTACGTCACATCGGCACTTTTCCCGCCATATAGTGACGAGAACAAGTCTGCATCAATAATCATTTCAAGTACAAATGAGTTTTATTTAAGAAACATATATATTCATTACATTGTCATTTAAAAACAGCGCCGTGGTATTGCTGGAATATTGCTAAAAGCGGTGTAAAACCATACTCACTCACTCACTCTGCCACTCAATCATTTAAAAACGGAAAATGTCATAGAACCAAATTCAAAAGCACTCAATTTGTCATTCACATTACACAGTTACAATTGCGCACGGTCGGGTGTGGGTATTCTTGTGCACCGACGTTTTACAATTATGGGTGAGTGTAAATTTCAGAAAATATAGTTGAGATTACCCCCCCCAGCGTATACATTGTGTATGTTTGATTGCTGATGGGGTTCACAACGTTGCTTGTTGCTCTTCTCCGCTGCTAGGTAAGAATAAATATAAAGTGGCACACATATACCATTCCACACATCCGATTGCCAGTGTAACCTATCATGTGTTTCTGTTCTGTTTTCGTTTTGCCATGATACGAGGTATATACTGTCATCTATATCTTTGCTCAGCCCTGAATGGAGACAGCGTCATACAGAAGACGCTGTGCATGTCTGCCAAGCTTCATGGAGGCCTCCACTACAACATGCATAACATGTATGGCTACTTTATGGGCAAAGCCACATACAGGTAGGTGCAACAGTCACGTACAGGTAGGTACAACAGTCACAAACAGGTAGGTACAACAGTCACATACAGGTAGGTACAACAGTCACGTACAGGTAGGTACAACAGTCACGTACAGGTAGATACTGACAACAGCCACATACAGGTAGGTACAACAGTCAAGTACAGGTAGGTACTGACAACAGTCACATACACGTAAGTACTGACAACAGCCACAAAAAGGGAGGTACTGACAACAGTCACGTACAGGTAGGAAATGACAACAGTCACATACAGGTAGGTACAACAGTCACGTACAGGTAGATACTGACAACAGCCACATACAGGTAGGTACAACAGTCAAGTACAGGTAGGTACTGACAACAGTCACATACACGTAAGTACTGACAACAGTCACATACAGGTAGGTACTGACAACAGTCACATACAGGTAGGTACTGACAACAGTCACATGCAGGTAGATACTGACAGCAGTCACATACACGTAAGTACTGACAACAGTCACATACAGGTAGGTACTGACAACAGTCACATACAGGTAGGTACTGACAACAGTCACATACAGGTAGGTACTGACAACAGCCACATACAGGGAGGTACTGACAACAGTCGCATACAGGTAGGTACTGACAACAGTCACATACACGTAAGTACTGACAACAGCCACAAAAAGGGAGGTACTGACAACAGTCACGTACAGGTAGGAAATGACAACAGTCACATACAGGTAGGTACAACAGTCACGTACAGGTAGATACTGACAACAGCCACATACAGGTAGGTACAACAGTCAAGTACAGGTAGGTACTGACAACAGTCACATACACGTAAGTACTGACAACAGTCACATACAGGTAGGTACTGACAACAGTCACATACAGGTAGGTACTGACAACAGTCACATGCAGGTAGATACTGACAGCAGTCACATACACGTAAGTACTGACAACAGTCACATACAGGTAGGTACTGACAACAGTCACATACAGGTAGGTACTGACAACAGTCACATACAGGTAGGTACTGACAACAGCCACATACAGGGAGGTACTGACAACAGTCGCATACAGGTAGGTACTGACAACAGACACATACAGGTAGGTACACACAACAAATTCTTGTATTGGGCAATTTCGCATTCTCCGTAACTCATTAGGTCAGTCTCAGATGTACAGTTATTGATGACTTCTTTTTCAGCGTTCTAAAAAATATCATCGGAAAGAGGCCATTTGTTCTGTCTCGCTCGACTTTCGCCGGAAGTGGAAATTACGTGGCACACTGGGAAGGAGACAACTTTGGTGACTGGTCCAACTTGTACTACTCTATACCAGGTAACGCACCTCTGTTTTTATACACGTTTTGAGATTACATATTTCCCAATCATCTTAGACCCCGTGCCCGATGCTTCTTCCTGTGATCGTGGGGCGGTGGGGTAGCCTAGTACATAAAGCATTCGCTCGTCACGCTGAAGATCTGTTAAACCCATTTCTGGCGTCCTCCGTCGTGATATTGCTGGAATATTGATAAATGCGGCGTAAAACCAAACTTACTCACTCACTCTAAATCTTTCTCACCCGGCTTGCGACTCAACCCTTGCGGCCCAACACAAGCAAGCATGTTGCTATACTAGGATATGCCAACTAACCAACAATTATATAGCCATTAAAGGGGCCTTTGACCAAACCAATCTCACTTCACAAAACTCTCATATTTAAAAAAAAATATTCTTCTGCAACGAAACCGCCCGGTCAGGCTCATTGACTTGGATGACACGTCATTGTATCCAATTCGCGTTGGGTTGGCATCCGCTTTGATCGGTATTATTAACTCCAATGATCGTGGGTTCGAATCTCAGATTGAAACGATTATATTTCTCCTTTGTCAGCACCATGCCGAGCTTCTGGGTTTCACCAAAGTGGTGAACGTCTGTGTCTATCCTGACTGCATGTTTAGTCAAGCTGTAATCAACACCACTGTCTTTCTTTGTAAACTGTGGGCCACGGGTAGCACGGTCGTTTTAGGCGCCCAATTCGCTGTACAGAGTTGCCTCCCTTTGGTGTGCCAGGAACATCGTGGGTTCTAAAGCTTGTTCGCCCCGATTATGAAGATGAGGATTCATAATCTTAATTTCACTTTATTCGATTGACTCTTTTGTTTAAATTGAACTTCATCGGTACGTTTTTACTGCAAACAGTCAATACTCGCCTCTTCCCGTGACTTACAAGAAGACTCGTACCTGTATAGTATGTCATCATTGTCACGAGTCGTGGCAAACCAATGGAATTGCGCGTGGTCAAATGTGAAATGAGTCAAACATTTTCTTTGCGATTATCGATTTTCATTATTATTTCCGTGATTATAAAATTATCTTGGTACTGATATTTGTTAACGACATAACAAACTTACTTAAAGTGACTTTCGTGTTGTATGATAAATCAGTTGGCGTTTGCTAGGAGTTGCCATGTTTGGAACAAAGAAAGTTATCTTTGTTTCAGTGGCATTTTAGAAGTTGGGACGTACAATATTTATCAAACTTTATGGATAACAACTTCTTTATTGCTTGACAACGGTACAAGAATCTGCATCGAAACATCGCACTCACGAAATAAAAAAGTTGCTATCCAAACAGTTTGTTCAATATCAGAGTTATCTTTCCTTGGAAAGAGTCCTTGACCATTTTCGTCTCCGTGCCCACTCACCATCCGGCCTGCCGGAATGACACGAGTAGTTACGAAAGAAGCCAGACGTTGCAACCCAAACTGGAAGCGGTTATAAACGTGAGATAATAGATCACTATGACCATTTCTATTTTTTATTTGCCAGAGGTTCTGAGCTTCAACATGTTCGGCATCCCCTTCACCGGCGTGGACATCTGTGGGTTTAGGGGGGACACGGACGAGGAGCTGTGTACAAGATGGCTTCAGCTTGGTGCATTCTACCCTTTCATGAGGTCACACAACCAGAACGTGGCACCGGTATTGTCCGACAGCTTCGGATTCGCTCGACATTTTTCGTCAGCTCCGTGATTGCTCCGTCATCATGGAAAAGTGATATTCAATAGTTTGATACATTCGGCTCCCTTATTTCTTCGACCACAAAAATACCCCCGTCGCCATAGAGAAGCGTTTGCATATTTTTATTGCATTCGGGTCTTCTCGGTTTCTTCCGTAAACTGCATAAAATCTTTGACTGCAATGTGGAATTGCATGTTTTTACCGTTAAGCAAATACGAACCGACCCCCGTGTGTTTTCGCAGTAAAATAGCATAAAATAAACACGCCGCCCTTTCTTCCAGGACAAAGACCCCGCAGCAGTGCGGTTTAGTTCCGCTGCGCATGACCGGAACCGCGAGGCCTTGCGACTCCGTTACCGTCTTCTACCCTTCCTGTACTCGCTGATGTCCCGGAAGAAGGCGGTGGCTAGACCTATCATCTTCCAGTATGTTTGTTTGTTAGTTTATTTGTTTGGTTGTTGTTTAACGCCACACTCACTTATATTCCAATTATATGGCGACGGTCTGTAAATATACGAGTCTGGACCATGCAATCCAGTGATCAACAGCATGAGCGTCGATCTACGCTGTTGGTATGCGATGATTCAATCGAACCTGACCCGATCCCGTTAGTCGGACTTTACGACACTCATGGGTTGCTGAAGACCAACTCTAGCCCGGATCATCGCGGGTTACACTGAAATTGACCCGTGAAGGTTTGGGTTAGAATATTGATCTTCAGTAACCCATGCTTGTCGTAGGAGGCGACTAACGAGATCCGTTATTGCTGGTGATCACTGGATTGTATGGACTCGATTATGTTCAGAACGCCGCCATATAGCTGGAATATTGCTGCGTGCGGCGTAAAACTAAACTCACTCACTCACTCATTACACTGAAATTGAGGAATCAATAGTCACATGACTTCAACCTGGACTGAGGCACCAGTTTCAGCACCTTACACGCAGTTTAAATTTAGGGTAGGGGTAGAGTGGTGGGATGGGTGACATCTGGGCTCCTGAGACATTTTAGGGTTCAGGTCCATTTTCGATTTAGCGCTAAGTCACTTTGTTCGAGAATCCCGCCCTACCTGTGGAGATCAAGGTTAGGAATGGTCTAACCCATGCTTGCCGTAAGAAGCGACTAACTTGATCGGGTTATCAGGCTCGCTGACTTGCTAGACACATGTCATCGTATCCAATTGCGTAGATCGATGCTCGTGCTGTTGATCACTGGATTGTCTGGTCCAGACTTGATTATTTACAAACCGCTGCCATATAGCTTGAATATTGCTGTGTGCGGCGTTAAAGAACCAACCAACCAACTTCCTAACACCAAGCACTAAATGTGTATCTAAGCTGGGCCTCCTTTCACAAAGCACTAAGGTCATCGTAAGTCACTAAGGTAACCTTAGTGTAATGTTAAAGAATGGGGGTTAAGGTTAACCTTTGTAAAGGTTGCTTCGTGAAAAGGAGCCCCTGGGCAGTACGCCATCTCTCATATGGCAATATATACAGTGGCGCATATTCACAACGCACAAAGGGAGCTGGGAACTCGTTTAATGGGTACGCGGTAGGAGTACCCTCTAACATCTCACAGGTATCTGGATTTGTATACTCCTCAGTGAGTTGAGAAAGACATCGAGTGGATATTGATCTTGATCGGAAGGTTAGTATTTTGTGCATGCATCAACCAACAGAAATACATCGCATTATAAATATTCATTCTTTAATTGGACATGGAACTGGATTTAGCGTGGTTAATGTTAATGTTTCCAGGTACCCGACTGATTCCACCGCCTACAGCATAGATAAGCAGTTTCTGTGGGGCGACTCATTGCTGATTACTCCCGTGCTAGAGAGGGTGAGTATGTTGTGAGAGGCCGTCGCGACTGATACTCGTATTTGTTTAATGATTTACATAGTGCAAAATTGACCAGGAACAACTTTCAGCTAAACAGTTTGGGCGCCTAGTGGTTAAAGTGTTCGCTCGTCCCGCCGAAGACCAGGGTTCTATTCCCCACATGAGTACAATGTGTGACGCCCATTTCTGGTATCCCGGGCAGTGATATTGCTGGAACATTGCTAAAAGCGGCTCAAAATAAGATTGACTCAATCAAGTGCTATATTTCTTATGAATTATTCAAGATACACATGTAATAAACTGATATTTATATTTTTCTTGAAAGAAAAACTCTTTCCCTACAACCTCTTTCAATGAAGCTATTTTTGATTTTCAAATATATTATCGAAATTATCAGGGGCTGTGGGAGTAGCCTAGTGGTAGAGCATTCGCTCGTCACGCCGAAGACCCGGTTTCGATTCACCACATGGTTACAATGCGTAAAGCCCATTTCTCGTTTCACCCACCGCGATATCCCTGGAATATTGCTAAAAGCGGCGTAAAACCATACTGTTATGTAAAACATCGTATATTATATACACAGGGGAACACAACAGTGAACGCCTATTTCCCTAAAGACACGTGGTACGATTTCTTCACTGGGACGGAGGTGTCCACGACAGGGCAGTGGTCAGTCATCAGTGCGCCGCTGGACAAGATTAATGTCCACATAAGGGGAGGCAGCATTGTCCCGACACAGGTGCCCGATGTGAACACGGAGAAGAGGTAGGCATACAGTGATACACAGGTGCCCGATGTGAACAGAGAAGAGGTAGGCTGTCACTGATTTTGTACAAATGAGACATTGATAAATATACTTCCAAACTGTTGGGCAAAGGAAATTCGTGACCCAAACCCGTGAAGATATTACTGGACTCAAAACAGTCGCGGAAACAGGGGCGGTGGGGTAGCCTAGTGGTTAAAGCGTTGGCTCGTCACGCTAAAGACCCGGGTTCGAATCCCCACATGGGTACAATGTGTGAAGCCCATTTCTGGTGTCCCCTGCCGTGATGTTGCTGGAATATTGCTAAAAGCGGCGTAAAACCAAACTCAGTCAGTCAGTCGCGGAAACAATGAAAGCGTAATTTCCAAAACACATCAATGACCCCCTTGTCAAACATACCATCATGGAATGACCTTTTCTTCTGTTGTATGTTTAAACGCCATGAAATATGGGTGTACAATTGGTTTGCTCGCAGTTTAGTGCCTAAGTATGCTTGTCTGGACCTGTGGGTGTTATCAGTTTATTTGTTGTTTCAACCTGCAAGCCGACAGAACGACTTTGGTCTGGTGGTGGCGGCGTCGGCCAGGAAGATTGCCCAAGGCTTCCTGTACTGGGACGACGGCGATACCATAGGTTTGTTTGTTTATTTATTTAATTGTTGTTTAAAGCCACGCTGAGCATTATTCCACAAATAACAAGGGTCTGACAATAATCTGAGCCAGACAATCCAATGAGTGATATTATGAGCGTTGATCAAAGCAACTTGGATACATAATATATATATAATAATTCATTTATATAGCACCTATTATCCATCTGACTAGTTGCTCAATATGATTATTATTACCCCGGATAACCCAAGCTGACTGTGAGGCGCAAGAAGGTTAATAGTCACATGACTTATCCCACCGGGTACCCATTTTCTGCTGGGTGAACAGAGGCAATGTTGAACAAACCCACTTGTATCACATGTGCTTCGCTCTGGGGCAGGACTGAAGTAGAAACTCTCAAGATATGCCTAAGTAAGTCCGCGAGGCCGGTAACCCGGTGCCAATTGTTGTCTCCTACGATTTGCCTGGGCTCCTGGAGACCATTTCTAACCCGCAACTTCACGGGTATCTTAAGTGAGGTGTACAGCTCTTTGGTAAGTGAGTTTTGGTTTACGACCGCTTTGCACAGTGTACCGTTAACACGACTGCGTGTCAGTGTGAAAGGAGACAGCAAATCAACACACGGTCTCATGTTCCTGACCATAAACCAGTTTTTCCTTGATCGACAAAGGGACGCACGAGGGTCGATCAAAATGTACGTAGCCTTACTATAATCCCGATGTCCGATGTTTGAAAAACTTCCATTTATTTTGAAGTAATCATCAGCAAAGCCATATCCAACATTTCACGTATGTGGGTTACGTGTAGGGCTGTGCAATATTACCGGTAGACCGGTATATACTGGTACAGTATCTCGCGATAGGATTATCGCGATGTGGTTCAGATTCTGCAATATATTGGGTCATCCAGAAGTAGCTCCTTTTGAAGTACCAACTATACATTTATTTCTCTTCGTTTCATGTAACATTTTACAAGCAGAAATATATTTATAAGTGGCCCCCAAAGTGCCAAATATTCTTCCACATGATTTAAGTCTTGTGGATTTGAATGGTTTCATATGTGACGTTTTGGAGGAATTAAGTGGCCTCAAGTGGACCAATCTTTTAAGAAAGCAGGATGTATGGATGTCAATATCTTGTTGTGAATAACACGACGTTTCGGAGTGTATGCTTGCTCCTTCATCGAGTCATGAGGGGCGGTGGGGTAGCCTAGTGGTTAAAGCGTCCGCTCGTCACGCTGAAGACCCGGGTTCGAATCCCCATATGGGTACAATGTATGAAGCCCATTTCTGGTGTCCCCCGCCGTGATATTGCTGGAATATTGCTAAAAGCGGCGTAAAACCAAACTCACTCACTCACTCATCGAGTCACGAAGGAGCAAGCATACAATCCGAAACTTCGTGCTATTCACAATAAAGAAGGTGACATCAATAAATCTTCATTTTCTTATGGATTCCACTTCTAAATGCCCTTAAAAGATTTGACCATTCTTTTATTTGGACTTATTAGTAGAACCTCTGGCTCTGAGTGACCATTTTGTTTGTTTTATGATAGGACATATGTTATCAATTTATCATAAAGGCCAAAGTCTTATAAATTTTGTAGGACTGTATTATGACATTCTAGTCAAGAATCTTACTAATATATTGGATGTCACATGAGATTTTAAGTCTCAAGTAGTTCACCTAAATCATGTTTTGGTTTTCATTTTGCAATAGCTCATGTTAACACATGTTTTTATGGAGTTGAATCTGAATGAATCACTGACATACAGTAACAATAATTACATACTGCTTTGAAGTGCATTCTGTTAAAGAAAACAACGCTGATAATGGAAATCATGTTATGCTATTAAATTGATCATTATGTTCGCAAAACTTTGTTGCAATACGGTACTTCAAGTAAACATTCTACGTTAAGGCTCAAAATCATTTCATTTAGTCATCAGTTGTTTTTAAGGACACGCGCATTTTATTTTTTCAAGAACATTGTGTGCAGATATTCAAGCTGGCACTGTTTTCAATATATTGTGAGCTGACACTTGTGTGACCATTCAGTATTTAGTTTGAACCCTTGGTATCATGTATGAATAAGTGGAAACATTAGAATGAGATATGCCCTTATGAATACGTCATCTGAAATGGGGATAGGTAGTGTCTCCAAAACAAGCTCTTTCAGTAAACATGAAGGGTCGAGTCATTTTAACAAGCGATTGTAATTTCAAATTGCTTTTATGCACTTTAACAACTAAGTGTGATTCTAGCGAACTTCTTTCTGCCTCAAACACCCAAAATCTTCTTGCCCTGAAGTTTGTGGTGCATTTATTGCAGATTTTGCGTTTTTTGAGGGTACCAAGGTAAAAGGTCAAACAAAATGGGGATCGTGAGACTGGAACATAGCAAAACCAATTTGCTTGAGATTGACAGATAATATACTCATGCCAATAATGGTTGTCACCCCTCCCCACCCTAACCCCCCACACACCACACCCCACCCCTCTCCAATTAAAAAAATTGAAGGCGGTGACAACCATTATTGGCATGAGTATATATAGAACAATAAAACATAAAAATAACTGCATTTGTATCATTTTCTTGGGGTGGCTACATATGTTTTGATCACCCCTCGTAAGCTAGTTATGCGATGTTCTGAAAATGATTTAACCACGTCGAGAGCTAGCTATAGGGTATACAACAACCTTGTGCCTATCTGTGGGCCACCACAGCAATTCCATCTTCTGTTCTCTACCCGAATAATGGAACATACGTAAGATACGTAACGCTGTATCTTTACTTCCAGATGCACCGTTTAACAATATCCAGTTCAATCTCGACGGGGTAAGTACATGTACTACATCACTGCGAGCGGTTTTGTGTAAAGGTCGTCATCGAGAGTTAGACAAAGACAACCCAATGGAAAACCCAATGAAATCAACGTTTAATCCTATATCTGCAAACAGCAACGATGTTGTAACGACCAGTTAAGATTTGTGTGAAGGCAAGTGATGCTAAATATACTATTTCCCGGTGGGATGAAGCAGCTGACCGAAGGATGGCTCAATACCTACCTCTAATCTAGGAGTAAAACAAATCAACGGAGGTATTGATGTTAACACACAGTTAGCTGATGTTGAAACGTTTCGCGAAACCCAAGAGCCTTGTTATGACATGGGCAGTGCTACCTGTTTGTGAGAGAGAGTGAGTGAGTGACAGTGTTATGTGGAAAATAATCGAATCCTTGGGTAAACCAGGGCGACCGTTGGGAACCAATGCCATCAACCAATTCAATACTGGGACTGGCAGATTCGCATCAGTTCTTTGGTACGCTGAGAAAAAACCCATTGGTTCAAAAACTCTAGGCTGGGGGTAGCCTGGTGGTTAAAGCGTTCGCTCGTCACGCTGAAGACCCGGGTTCGATTCCCCACATGGGTACAATGTGTGAAGTCAATTTCTGGTGTTCCCCGCCGTGATATTGCTGGAATATTGCTAAAAGCGGCGTAAAACCATACTCACTCACTCCTGTTGTCCATGTATCTACTCTAATACCAGCACACGTCGCTGTTGCAGGAACGACTAACGTCAACTGTCAAGTCTAACAACTACGCCACGACCATGACGTTAGGGAGCGTCGACGTGTACGGTGTTGCAACAGCGCCGACAACAGTCAGAGTCAATGGTATCGGCGTCGCCCACACCTACGACAGCGGCAACAAAGTGAGCTAAACCCGAGTATCCCTGACACAAACTGGCACTCCCCTATATAACTACAATTAATGACTTTAATGCACACACCCTATTTTATAATCCTGGATCCGCTTCTGGTGAGTTTGGAATGACCAAAATAAATTTAAAAGGAACCAGAAATATTTGTTTGAGTGGCATTCTAGAAGTTGCTGGTATAGAGATGACACAACTTTATGGATGATCAACTTCTTTATTTTAACAATAGCGATGTTTCAGTATAGATTCTTATACCGTTTTCAAGCATATGGGGGAATGATGGGGTACACCAGTTTATATACAAGAGAATGCGAGAACAGTCTCCATGTAGACGACGAATGATTTGTGTGAATGGCATTCTAGAAGTTGCTGGTATAGAGATGCGATATTGTTGATCATCATCATGTCCATAAAGCTGGGGGCGGTGGGGTAGCCTAGTGGTTAAAGCGTTGGCTCGTCACGCCGAAGACCCGGGTTCAAATCCCCACATGGGTACAATGTGTGAAGCCCATTTGTGGTGTCCCCCGCTGTTATGTTGCTGGAATATTGCTAAAAGCGGCGTAAACCCAAACTCAGTCAGCCATAAAGCTGTGTCATCTCTGAACCAGAAATATACTAGATTCAGTTATCAAGTGTAGTTGTTCACAAGTTTTCACTTCCTGACAAAATATTCACCTATTTTTGGATGGCTAAAATAGAACAGGAAGATATCGTTTGGTGTCGATGACGCCCGACGCCCGACGTACATATGCATGATACAGGTGTTATGGAGTTTTCGCCACATTTAGTTTTTAAGTGTATGCGTTCTGGCAGTTTGTTATCATAAGTTTGGGAGTTTATTTAGGAATATTATGGCAATATCACGACGAAGGACACCGGAAATGGGCTTCAAACATTGTACCCAGGTGTGGAATCGAATCCGGGCCTTCAGTGTGACTTTAACCACTTGGCCACCTCACCGTCATTGTTATCAAATTTACGTTATTTCATTATAAGTTGTATGCTTCTCTCGAGGGCAGTACGGTCTGATGTACGCCTTTTTGTAGCAGTGTCACCCGAGCTGGTAGGTAGGGGATAACACTGCTACAACAAGGTGTACATCAGACCGCATTACCCGAGGGAGAAGCATGCAACGTTTCTATCTTACCGCCATGTTAAATGTACAAAATATAATTGTATTTTATTTTGAAGATCGATAACCTCGCTACCGACTATATGATATGTAAACAAAATGGCGTCTGCCTCTCGACCTTTTTTTCACATCAGTGAAACATATTCTGACAAGCTTAACACTGCTATAAAATGATTAAGTATGTTTAAGTTGAGTGTGCAGACGGTTCAATGTATAAAATAGTTTAAATAAAGCAGTGAAAGTCGGTAAAATGAATGTGTACATAGTGAACTCTAAAACAGCTAATCGAACGGTTTTCGAACTCTGTGCTCTGCATGCGTCATATTATGACGTCATACGATTGTTAACGATACAGCTTCTCGGAGGAGAGTTTGCCGGTAACCGTGGCAGCGGGTAATATTTTTTACAGTTGTCTCCCTCCTGGGAGTGGTGACGCGGACACTTGTAAATGCGTCATTGACCAATGAAATTAAAGTATTTTACATGAAGGTAAGATAAATACCTATATATATATAATCGTATACAGGATGTATTCGCCGCCATAGCTTCGTTTCGGGTCTGACGTCACCAGTGACTTGACGTCACCAAAGTGAGTGACGTCAAAGCTGCTATATCTAAATAGCCCAGCATATCTCTCACTAAAGCACTTACAATTATTTGTATATGTGGTTTAAAGCGTGATCTCGCAATGTCAATTACCCGAGTTCGATTCCCCCTGGGAGTACATTGCACGAGGCCCATTTCTGTATGGTGTCCCCTGGAAGAACATATTAGAATATTGATAAAAGGTTCGTAAAACTACATTCAGCCACTCGCACTGAAGCATGTGATGTTATTGAACGGCTACCTTACATGAACGTGTATCCAGAATGAGGCTAAAAAATATGGTAGTGTGGGGTTCCTGAAGAAATGCTCGAAAAATATATCGGCCAGGAAATATGCTCTCTCATTTGTAAGCTTTGAGCAGTAATAACAGCTTTGCCAAATGAAAGACTTCTAAGGGAGATAATCGCAGGTGAATACCTTCCGGTACTAGGAGGACCAGTAATAATTAATGGCTTTTTTACTTTTCAGTCTCTTCATGTAACACGATTGAAGGTGGATCTTCGTAAACCCTTGGTGATGACTTGGTAGCCATGGTCGCCATCTTGAATATCACAGGTTGTAATTAATAAATTGCTGCCATGTTTTGATAAGTGAATCAAAGGGGATTTAAAATTCAAAGTGTGTTGTGTTTAAACCTGATCTTGGTTGGTTGGTTGGTTGGTTGTTTAACGCCGCACACAGCAATATTCCAGCTATATGGTGGCAGACTGTAAAAAATCGTGTCTGGACCAGACACTCCAGTAATCAACATCATGAACATCAATCTTCGCAATTGGGAACCGATGACATGTGTCAACCAAGTCAGCGAGCCTGACCACCCGATCCCGTTAGTCGCCTCTTACGACGAGCATGGGTTACTGAAGACCATTTCTAACCCTGATCTTCACGGGTCGATCTTCCTCTTGGAATAACAAAGAAAACCGTAAGTAAATGAATCGAGCTTAGCCGCTTTGAACAGTATACCTAGTATATTAACTACGTTTCAGGAGTGAGTGAGTATTTGTTGTTGTATCGGTTCATGACGGTCGGTGTTTGTGCTTTTTTTGCCTGACCAATAATAGATTATTTTCAACACTCACTCACTCACTCACTCACTCAACCAGTCATTCAACCACTCGCTCGCTCACTCAAAAGGATTGGAAATATAATACGTCTTCTCAAAAGTAAAATAAAATATAACATCTTTGCTAGAAAAGCTTCTGAAGATATATAACAAAAAACAAAACACATTTTAGCTAAAAGATTAAATATACTACGATCCTGATCCATATTGATATGGCTGTCTGTGCAGTCATTGGAACAATCAGGCTGTTATCGTATCTCGGGGAATATCAAGATAGATCAATACTTATTATCACGTATTGTCTTTTCTCGTCAGTCTCTTCAGCAACATCCTGGTACAACATTGACGCTCACGGACAATGCGCCGGAGGTTTATATGCTGACGGCCATAAGTTATGGAACATATACTAATGTAGCTGGATAGCGGCTACTGTTGTTTTCAAATATAATGTTTCAGTGAAGGTCACGACAGTCGACTAAAATATATCTACAGGTGTAGTTATTTTGGGAAACACACATGTATAAAATGAATAAATTAAACAAATGCATCAGAAAGGATTCGGTTGATTCTGGCTCAGTCTGGTTTTGCTCCTCCTCAGCTGAGGCCCTTAACCGCTCTACATGCAGCCCAGGAAGATAATAAGATTTCTCCTTGGAGGTCGCCTTGTCGAAAATACTTTTTACACAACACGGACACGGTGTAATGAGTGCGAGCAGACCAGGCCTTGTTTAAACCCCTCAATGACTAGCGCCTGGCAAGGCAACAGGACGTAGTCTTTTTGGGTGACTTACCCACTTACCGTGACGGGATACGGACAAAACAGACCCCATCGAAAACGGACCCACCCAAAATCGGGAAAAAGGCCACCGTGCTGTCGAGAAACCAGAGAAAACTGCTTCTGTGCCTGGAGAAAACGGCCAACATAGGTGCACCAAGATCAAAGGAGATTATATTTATCCCAAATAAAAGACTGGGTGACTGAGACGGGGTTCGAACTCACTCACCCACTCACGGCCACGGGATACGGACAAAACGGACACCATCGAAAACGGACCCACCAAAAATCGAGAGAACGGCATCCAAACCTAGAGAAAACGGCATCTGTGCTTAGAAAACGGCCAACATAGTTGCACGAAGATCAAAGGATATTATATTTATCCTAGATAATAGAGATTTACTTCATTGCGGATAAGCTGTTAAAAATTGATTGGTTGTTTTGTAAGTTTCGATATTGTTATAAGGTAAACATGCATCCCTAAAAACATGAGAAAATTACATCAGATTCCGTATTTTTAGACTTGCAGTTTTGCTCATGAGTCATAACGGTTAGGCACGGTAGGCAGACAGAGATTCGAGAGAATGGCGTTTAGCTGTGGGCTATGAACACATCCGTCATGAAAGACAGAACAGATTAATCTTACAATAACAAATCGATTAAAGGTCACATAAACCCTAGGGGGTACAAATACATTAATCACTAACTGGCATCGTTATAAATGAAACCCCGTCATTAAAACTACTCATTTCGACCTTTAATTGACTTAAATCGACCTTTTTGACAACAGTGCACAATTCTCACCCGCGAACGAAATTTCAACCAATCAGAGCGGCGCGCCTTTGTGACGTCATATGAGGAATAGCTTTGAGATCCGATGCAGAATTCATCTACATTTTAGGGGGTAAATTATCGTGTTTACAGATTTTGTATAAACCTGAAATCGTGACAATTGTTGTGGAAAATGAAAGCTATATGTTCTCACAATCTACTGTCATTTAATTTTGTCTCCTGCTTTGCCTAGTTTCCGAGTTACAACTTGTTTTCATAGACGATTCTGTCAAAATCGATTGGTGTCGTTAGGCCCTATTTGTATAATGGCTGATCCAAATTGATCCCATTTCTGTGTTGTTTTACCTCGATATTTAATCATGTCATGTAAAAATCTGTTTCTATTCTCAAAACAGTGTCGGCCCATAAGATTTCACATGCAATACAGCAATTAATACTCCCTCGTTGTAACCCGTGTTAGGTGGTATAAACCTACACATGTTATTTGTCATCATTCACTTGATGGTCAGTTAATGAATTTATAACAGGTATAATTAGTGGTAACACACTTAGATTACCGGACAAAGGTTCCCATTTGGCATTTCTTGTGTCTGGAGTAAATATTCAACATTATAAACATCGATCAAAGGATTAACCGATAACACGCTGATTGATTAATTACTTTTATCTTACAGAGCGGAATTGTCAAAAGGTAGTGTTTATGTATGTAGATTTACTAATCTATACTGAATACACTCTGTCGTGTCGGTGTCTGCGTAAAAACAACGTCCTTCTTTCAAAGGATTAACCGGCAATACATTGATTGATTGCCCATTATTGGCTAACTAAATTACTGTTTTAAAGAAAGGCGGACATTATGCAATTAGTTGCCAGGTGTGCTATCTTGGGTGACCAATGAGACTATACACCAATACCTGAAAAGATTTATCACTTTTCGTATATTAAACTGTTAAAAGACACATCATTTGGAACAGTTTTGTGGATATTGATGGATACATTCCTCGAACAAGGTAATGGCCTGATATTGTTCCTATAACTTTAATCTGTTTTAATTTTAATATTTGCATTTTGTTTTTATTCATTTGTCGTAGCATTCAACAGGATCATTGTTTTCGCCGTGAAGTGTAATGAGACAGACAACATGCACTAGGGTGTGTGTGCGAATTATGATTCACATTGGCAAACTATAAAATGTCTAGATATTACAGTTCTGTTATAAATTCACTATAAGTATCAGCAGATCGTCAGCTTTTTTATTTAGTTTCAAAATGCATAAAAGTATGATAATAAACTAATTAGGATTATAAGACCAAATATAAAGACGCACATTGACTAGTATCTACATACTGGTGAGTGGACATTAACCATGTGAATGTAGCAAGAAATTTATCGCACAGTATTGTGACTTCGACCCCCACCTCGCTTCCGTGGAAGAAATCGTTATGTTATAAGTTGTGTCATGCAAAATCCGTTTGGTTATGATTCCAATACATATTTAACAACGAGTAGAAAGTAGTCTTGATTTTCTAACTTGATGAAAACAAACTATAATCTCATTAATTCTAACAGATTTTTTTATTTTTAAAAATGGCGGCGCCCTGTCGGGAACATCCGCCAGTCTGAGGATAAATGGTATTTAGGTTTGTTTTCACCGAGTTACAAAATCAAAACTACTTTCTACTGGTAGTAAAATATGTATTTTATTGATGGCCAATAGGATTTTGCATGACATAGCGTATATCATAACAATTTCTCTCGTGGCAGCGAGGTGGGTGTCAATATAATACTACATACAATATTATTGTTACTTCGACCACAACCTCACTTCCGAGGAAGAAATCGTTATGTTACAAGTTGTGTCATAGAAAATCTTTATGGTCATCAATCATATGCATATTTTACTACAACTAGTAAGTAGTTTTGATTCTTTAACTTCCGTGAAGCGATCTGAACACAAGTAAGATATCGTTTCAGGCTTCCACAACGCTCGCTTCGCACTCACAAACATAACCCATTTAGCACGAACTGCGGGGTCCTGTGGAAATCTGTGCATGGGGACACCATCGCCCGACCCCTAGGAGCAATTGACGACAAAGCAACGATTCGGCATGTCGTCGTTGATGTCGAGAAATCATCAAAATGATGAGCGTGCTACACATTTTCTATACAACTAACTGAAAATCGTTCCTCATATGACGTCACTGCAGTGCTCTGGCGACAGAGTTACGTAACCTGTCTGTGGTTTCGTTGGCGGGCGAGAGGGAAGCAGGCGACTTTTTGGCCACTTTTAATCGCTCGGTATTAATTAACCACAAGTTTTTTAAAGAATAAATTTGGTGTTCCGCATAAGACTAACCACAAATCTTTCAAATGTAATGGTTAAAAGAGTAACAAAAAACAAAGTTTAGTGGTTCTTTAAAAGGGGTGAGTGACCGAACCGTGCAGCTAAATATTCATGAGACACAATATTCATGGTGGCAGGGTCGGATACAGGATTAACGAATCAAAACGATGAGTTGAAACATGAGATCAAGGTCAGGTCAGACTCGTGCGCGGCTCAACAGCCTCGGATGCCAGTCCACACCACTCAGTTGCCCCTTGTGATACCCTGTCTGTTGATGAAGTTGTAGTTAGAGAGATGGACTGAGACAGAGTTAATCCTATGTGAGTATAAACTTGGTGTTGCGTGTATCTTTGAATGTATGTGTGCCAGAACATGAATGTTATGTGGTTAGTTAGAGCCAGGGCTACCATCTCCCCTGACAATGTGGAACGATCCTTAATAGAAGGTAACTGTGGTGGGATTTACTGAAGCCCAACCACCAGTTACGACATGTGGGTGTAAACATCACAATGGTTTGCTGTGATACTGAGACGGTATGCTTCGTGGCATTATCCATTGACCACAGTACCAAAGTTTCATTAAGAGTGGTAAAGGTGCGCCAACTGCAACAGCATATAATTTAGCATAATTTAGTAATAGTGTCT